TCAATTCAATTTCAAAGCCACGACATCATGCAGCGATCGAAGGATGATATAAATATAAAATGTGTTAATAATCTTAGAAAATGCCTGACCACTGATACTACGTTTATTCCAAGATTTTCAATGCGTGTCAGTAGTAAAATTATTACCACTACTTTTACATTACATAAATAGACGCATTTTACTTTGCAGGCACGGTGGTGTAATGGATACCGGCTCGGTTTGAGGAATCGGAGAGCGGAGTTCGAATTCCAGTCGAATCCATTACATTCACTTACGAGCTAATACCCTTGGGAAAGATATGAATCCTCTTCTTCTCTCCCCCCCCCCAGCTATGGGTAAATAACAGGATAGACCGAGTTCTATAACCATGGATGGCAACTGGACTACTGCAGAAAGAAATGGCAAACTACTGCGGTTTGGGCGGGGGGGGAGGAAATCTGCTTCGTCTGTTGTGTATCCCGCATGGCACACAAGTGATTGATTTTTCTTTGTGGAAGTTAATGTAGTCAAGTGTTCTAACAGACGACGGAAGGTGTGACACTGAGATCCGAAGAGGATTTGATTTGTTTGTTTAACAACGTATGGGTCACTTAATGCCGAAATTTAATTTTCTTGGGTGCTTTGAAGTAATAATAACAACATATACATTATTCTCCTTTCGCAACTGAATACATGGTAGATGATACTCAGCATTATGCATATACGTATTTGTGTGGACTAGACGTGATTATATTTGTATTTTATGCTGTAGTTTGTTTTTTTTTAACTTAGCTTTGTTGAAGTTATATATTGGAATACAGTTTGATTTATTCAAGACATTGTAGGCTTAATGTCATGAAAGTTCTTTTTGGGTGACTGATGTAAAGTTGGTAATTATACTATAAATATATATTGGTGGTAATTTTTCATATAAAAATATATTGCTGGTATTTTTGCTATAAAAAGGCATTGCTTGTATTTTCCATATATAATGCGTTTTTATACTTTCATAATTTTTTTTTTCGTGGTTCACTATTTGTCTATAGTTGGGAACTTAACAGGTACTACCACCCTGGGTTAAGGTAGACCTGGGAATAACAGTAATTAAGAAGTGGTCCTATGCACCACAAATAACTCCAATCTCTTGAACAAAGGCCTTGCTGCCTGATGTAGTTTGTAATCATACCCAGAACTAAAGATGCATTCGAAAAGCTAAGCAGAGTATAAAATCAGAAAAATCCGTTAGAAACAAAGAGTACTGAAATATTATGTAATATCTGTCCTCCTGTACAGCAGTGAATGGTGGACACTATTCTCAAAAATGAAGGAGAGACTTGAGGCGACAGAGGTGTGGTTTTACAGAAGAATTCTGAGGATAGGATGGATAGGAAGGACGGCTTGGAAAATCTGATACTCACAGGACAGATTGAGGGAAATAAGAACAATGGGAAAACAGCCCGTAACATACATGATGAGCATAAGTAAATGGGAAGAATAGGTAAAAGGCAAAATTATTAAGAACTACAAGGGACAAGAAGATGTGGAGAGTCATGATCTCCAACATGACACGGTACATGAAGAAGAAGATAAAAATCTCTGATCACTTAGAATGCTTTTGTCCTTTACATTAAAAAGGTAAATTCATAGCAGTGTATTTATATAATACACATAATAGGCTTGTTGTCGCCTCACTAGACTCACTTCTCAGTCCTGTAATCTTGCTGCTTTATATTAACGATCTGACTAATAACATACTCAGATCTTAAGTGAATATCTATGCAGATAATAAGACAGTGACTCCAATGAGGGAGGGAAACATTGAATTGTAACTTTCAAAGCCACGATAAAGAACATAGTAATTTCTCATCATCACAAAACTGACCCTGAATTCTTACCATTTGTGATGAAGGGTTATACTTACAAAGAGGTTGCTTGCTGCAGGTATCTATTGAGACTCGAATTCAGCCCAGACCTCAAGTAGCGCTAAAGATGCTGGAAAAAAGCCGGTCCTTTCTACCAGTCTAAATGGCAGTATTGTTGGCATATCTAGGTAGGAATTTCCCAATTCGCTCTCCAGATCATTCTCCTTTAACACACTTCTTTGTGTGTGTATAAGTGTTTGTTTGTGTACGTGCGTATATATGTGTGTGTAAGAGAAGACGAAAACCCATGAGAAATGAAAAGAGAGATAAAGGGAGAGCACTCCAGTAGTATTGTTGCCCTACCTGTGTTGGAACTGCGCAATTCTCTCTCCAGATCATGCTCCTTAATGCTGCTGTTTGTTTGTGGGTATGTGTGTGTGTGTATGTGTGTGTGTGTGTGTGTGTGTGTGTGTGTGAGAGAGAGAGAGAGAGAGAGAGAGAGAGAGAGGGTGAGAGAAAACTATGAAAAATGAAGAAAGAGCGCATTCCAGGAGTATTGTTGTTACATCGAGGTTGGAACTGCCCAATTCTCTCTCCATTAACACACATCATTGTTAGTATGTATGCGAGTGTATGTGTTAGAGAGAACGGGAGAGGAGACAGAAAGAGAAACAGTGAGACAGAGAGAGAGAGAGAGAGAGAGAGAGAGAGGAGAGGGGGCAAAGAAAAAAGAGTAAAAACCTATGAGAATACTCCAAGAGTATTGTTGCCATATCTTAGTTACAATTGGAATTTTGTTTGACATAGCTGTTTTTTCGAATCCTATATCTGATATTACCGGTTACATAAACAGCTCGTAAGATGGAAAAAAAAACCTTTATGAATGATAAGTGTTCATGTGTGTTTGTGGGATCTGTCAAAGACAGAGAGAGAGAGAGAGTGAGTGAGACACTAGAAGACATGGACAGAGAGGAACGCAGAGAAAGCTGGGAGATGGACACGTCTGTTTCCGCTTTAATCGTAAATATTGACGGTAGAAGCGAATTAGCTCGAAATATATTCTCCTGTTCTTCGAGGAACATGAACTGTAGAGAACCCGTTGCAATCGATCGATAGTAATTCTTAGTGGTTCCACAAGAGTTGATAACACGCACCAACAACGGGGACACCATGTCACCGAAATTCATTAATATCGTTCAGATTTAAGTTCTCTGTTATATCAGAGAGAAAAAAAATTACTTCTGTAAATAACGATAAACTAACTCCTTTGTTGCAGTAGGAATCTCAGAAGCAATGTTTCATCGCCTTTCAATAATTCTTTCGGACAAGCCTCCTCATTCTTGGAGGTTTTATTAAGGAATGTTAGTTGCTTCAGTAGAATGTATGCTTATCAGCAAGAAGAAACCCTCAAGATGTGATCTATGACCTGGAGACGTTAAAAATGCACAGCAATTTTAATATCTGCAATAGAAATTCGGAGGTGCATTTAAAATGGCCAAAAAAAGCTTTTCTAAGACCAAAAGAAAACTATCAAGACACAGTAAAATGTTCGAAACAAAAACATGAGAGTCAACATTTATGTAAGAGTTCTGGATATGACGATAAATCCGGCAGCAAAGCAGGTTTTTGAGGAGCGTGGAATCACCTTTTAATTACTGTTGTTTCGAGGTCCAGCCTGACCCGGGGTGGTAGTAGTATTTACGGTCCCAGCTATGTGCAAATAGTTAAACCCCAAACTGGGGCCAAAACACTATGAAAGTGTAAAACTAGTTTTTTTTTTTTTTATAGTAAAAATAACAGAATTACAATTTTAGAAAAAAATCATTACAAGCAAAAAATTAAAAAAAAAAAAATACCAGCAATATATTTTTGGTAAAAAAGAAAAATACAATACATTTGACTCCCGACAAAAACCCTCTTTACAAAAATACTTCAAAGAAACCTGATCTACAAACAAAGAATACATTTCTATTTATACGAACTTATCGTAAAAATGTTGTCAGCATTAAATAATCCAGAGATTTATATAGCTTAAAACAAAATAAACCAAACCAAACAATTCCGGAATATCAATCATCCTATATGTGGCTAACATCATGCAGAACGCCGTCATATAACAGTTAGACATTGTTATATCAATTACGGATGAGTAGTGAATTCGACTAGCCATTACGTTCTCCATACTTCCGGCATTTCCCCACATCTAAGCTGTGTTTACTAATTCATTATATATAGTAGCTTTCCGTAGTTTTCTTGCGTCTTTTTTTTTATAAATATTTTCCTGGTAATTGTTTTGATGAGTTATCATATGTGGAACTTCAAATTGCTAGACTTGTTTTTTTACAGCTTATTAATCTTTTTGAAGTTATTTAAAGCCGGAATATATTTCGGGATTGTTAGAATGTTTTAAGATGTAATAATGATTTCCTAACACAAGTCAATATTTAACACATAACTGGGAGGATGAAACCTGGATTCATAGCTTTTCCAAGTGTATTTGAACGTAAGTAAATATAACGATCTCAGCTGGAATTCGAACTCTCTCTCTCTTTCTTTATCCTTTGCTCCATCCGCGCATCCAAGCTCACAACACATGACATTCCGGAGCGATCACCAACCTAGGTATTGTCAACATTACTTAACTTCAGTGATCGGACGAGGATCGATGTATCAACGTGATATGGCCATAAGCGGTGGAACCTCAGTTTAACAAATTTAAGTTCAGTACTGGATTGGCAGCTAGGTTTCGTAAGTTTACTTTTGCAGTTTTTCATACTAATAATTTCTCCTCTTGCTCTTTGCTCATGTGGAAATCTATCTCGGCTTTATCCTTTCCTGTTAAGTACGATCTTCAAAAATGTAATTGATTGGTTAATTGATCGATTAATTTTTTACGGCTTATTAACCCTTAGCAGGTTTTTTTAAGGCCAGGAATAATTTTACATTGTAAGAAATTTGGGGGAGATAATAATGATCTAGTGATAAAAGAGCTTACACTAATTAGCTGATAGCTGGGAGGAGAAGAGTCGGTTTTATACATTCCCGAATGGCATTAGCGCGTGAGCGAATATAACGAACCCAAATGGCATTGAAACTCGACCTCTCCGATTAACAATTCCGAACCCTTATCCATTACACCACCCACACATCCAAGCTTAAAATACCTGTTATTTTCAAGCGGTTACCCATCTAGGTACTGACTAGGCTCAACGTTGCTTAACTTCGGTAATCGTACGGGTACCAGTGTTGCAACGTGATATGGGCGTAAGCTCAACAACTTTAACGCAATGTCAACCAACATCTGTGTGCTTAAATCCTGAATCTTTTTTATTAAACTCTTGTGTGTGTCTCTCCCTTTATCTCCGTTTCCCTCTGGCATCAAAGTGGCTTTATCGCCTTGCTTGGGGTGAAATTATTGAAATAAATGCCGGTGAATGCTGGGGAACTTCCTCATCCATGACGAGGAAGCTTGTGAATACGATTGGTTGAACAAGTGAACGACGAGAAAAGCTTTAACGAGAAATGAAAAAGGAAACGAAGACATACGTTGGGAATCGAGAATAAAAACAGTTGAACTTTCTTGGGGACGTAATGAGGAAAGCGAATTCGGAGAATATGACACTCACAATATATACTGAAGGCCAGAAGGGTGGGAAGTAAAAAAGAAATTAAAAAAAAAAAGTGAGTAAATTACCATGAGGATTTCGTGTAAATCGATGTCCGAACAGGAACTGAGAGGTTTAGTAAAGAGACATTGCTTAAAGCTACGAAAGGGTAGGAAGTTATGGATAGCCAGCCATCACAGTCTCCGTCCTGAAAGGTATACTGCCCATAAAAGAAGACTTGCTCTAGAGAACGCATGACAATGAGCATGTGGTTGAATTGCACGCACGAAAACATGCACACATACAGACCCACCCGCACACACAATCAAGCAGGTGCGCCAGATATTCATGGACTAATTTTGGCTTATTTCACAAAACAGCGATATACCGGAAATAACCTTATATATTCATTCTCGCAGATAAAATATCCAATATTAAAAATTCTCTGAATTTATTCCATCTGGTCTGTGGGCATGTGTGACGCAGGGTGGATTAAATCTTATTGTTATGACGAAGAGAATTGACCCGGCGATCGTCTAATGATTCATTTATGTTTCACGGCTTATCAACCTTTTGAAGGTTATTTAAAAACACACATATTTTTAGATTGTAATAATTTTGGGGGAGATAATAATAATTTCGTGATATATGTCTTACTAATTCACGCATAACAGGAGGAGAAGACGTAGATTCATATCTTTCACAGGGGTATTTCCGCGCGAGCAAAGCGAACGAGCCCAACTGTGACTGAAAATCGGCTCTGCCATTAACAATTCCGTGCTGTTAATCATTACACTCCAAGCACATCCAACTTTGCAAAACACCTGGTATTCTCAAGTGACCAAGATCGACGTTGCTTAACTTTAGTGGTATTGCGAGAACAGGTGTTTTTACGTGATATGACCATAAGCATAAGGCTTGAAAAATGTTCTGTTGCAAAAAAGTTTCAGAAATGGCACAAGATTAATGGTTGATGAAGATGCATCTTTAAGTCGCTGGTCAAACTATTTAAAAATAAAATAAAAAGACCTGAGTCTTATAAAGTAGTTACTATCTATCTATCTATCTATCTATCTATCTATCTATCTATCTATAGCAGTCTTTTCAACATCTATCTATCTATCTATAAATCTATCTAGCTAACTATCTAAATATCTATGTCTCTTGAACATTATCTATCTATCTATCTATCTATCTATCTATATATATATATATATATATATATATAGTTAAATTCCCAGATGAAAAAATAATAATAATCCCTTACTATAAAGGTAATTTACATTAACCAGAAAAAAGGCTTAGACACAAGCGTCTATCTTTTTAATTTTTAATTTTAATGTAACTGTAACAACAAAAACATTTCAATTTCATTTTTGCCTTGAAAAAGTCGGAAGACGAAACGCGTCGGCAAAATGCAAGATTTTTTTTCCAATTGTCATTTGATACCATATCTATCTATCTATCTATCTATCTATCTATCTATCTATCTATGGCAGTCTTTTCAACATCTATCTATCTATCTATAAATCTATCTAGCTAACTATCTAAATATCTATGTATCTTGAACATTATCTATCTATCTATCTATCTATCTATCTATCTATCTATCTATCTATCTATCTATGGCAGTCTTTTCAACATATATCTATCTATAAATCTATCTAGCTATCTAAATATCTATGTATCTTGAACATTATCTATCTATCTATCTATCTATCTATCTATCTATCTATCTATCTATCTATCTATCTATCTATCTATCGCAGTCTTTTCAACATCTATCTATCTATAAATCTATCTAGCTAACTATCTAAATATCTATGTCGCTTGAACATTATCTATATCTATCTATCTATCTATCTATCTATCTATCTATAGCAGTCTTTTCAACATATATCTATCTATCTATAAATCTATCTAGCTAACTATCTAAATATCTATGTCTCTTGAACATTATCTATCTATCTATCTATCTATCTCTATCTATCTATCTATCTATCTATCGCACTCTCTTCAACATCTATCTATCTATCTATCTATCTATCTATCTATCTATCTATCTATCTATCGCACCTCTTTCAACATCTATCTATCTATCTATCTATCTATCTATCTATCTATCTATCTATCTCATCATCTATCTATCTATCGCACTCTCTTCAACATCTATCTATCTATCTATCTATCTATCTATCTATCTATCTATCTATCTATCTATCGCACTCTCTTCAACATCTATCTATCTATCTATCTATCTATCTATCTATCTATCTATCTATCTCACTCTCTTCAACATCTATCTATCTATCTATCTATCTATCTATCTATCTATCTATCTAGCTAGCTAGCTAGCTAGCTAGCTAGCTCATCATCTTCATTGTCTATCTCTGTAGCTCAGAATCTTCATTATTTATTTACAACCAATACGATATCAGCTTGTGGACATCATCTCAATTTGTCGAATACTCAAGCCAATCGATGAAATAAACCTGTTTAAAATAAACATAGCGTCTACTCTAAAACTGGTATACACCAAAAATAACGGTTGAATTAATAGACGTATGTTGGATTAAAAAAATAAAATTCATTAGTCTTTTAGACATTAACTGATATCTGAAAGCAGATTTATACACGTCAGTCTGCGTTGTGGACATCAGACCCCAAATACGTTGGTTTTCATTCCATTCGACAAAAGCTCGATAGGCCGAAATTATTCACTGAAAATTATTCTGAAAAGAGTCTTTTGTGTCTTGATTTCTGTAGCAGTCTTCAGTTATGTAAAATGGTCTTGTTTAGAATATTTTTAATTTTTGTCACCCACAATTTTGTCGTTTGGTTAGCAATATGAGCCAACTAGCCAAACGATTATCTTGGAATTTCAACAAACAGAATACACATTAATATCCGGACTGCATGGTCGATTTTCCTACTTCTGTATACCATCTACATTTCCCCAATTTTGTAATACTTTCTTTTTTTTTACTATTCTCGCCTGTGGATCTCCCTTGCTTCCCTGCTAATTCAAAAACTTAAATGCGCCATTTTCTGTCTTCCTGAAACCTGTTCTTTTATTTCCCTTTCTCCTCACTAGATTCTCAATCTGTTCCACTCCCAATAACCTCATGTGTCCTAAAGACTATCACCTTGCTTGAGGTGAAGTAATTTAAAAAAAAAAGGTTTGAAAATAATATATAAAATGAAATATTTTTTTCTATTAGTTTACTGATTTTCATAGGGAATGTAATCATAATTTTTAAATACTTTCAATGCTGTAGAGTTTTTTTTTATAATAAAATAACATCTAATAGTAATTTTTATGTTTTACACATCTCTCTGCGTAGTAGTAGTAGCCGTAGTTTCCCGGCCTTTTGGCTGGGATGGTTTATCATCTCTCAGTTGCGTCTCTGTCTTTGGACAGAGTGTGCACAAAAGCTTCTCTGTCATAGAACAGAGGGGCAACTGAGAAAATTATACTGAGAGGTTCCCAGCCCTGGGGAACAGCTGCCCGAGGCCGCGCCCTCCAATTGCACCAGAGAGAGGAACAGGTGCTCGCGCCGAGGGCAGCGCAACCGACGGTTGCGGTGGCTGTGGGCAATTTTTCTCCCTTGCCCGGGTGTACGCGCTCGGATCCCTACTTTGTGTCACATCTCGTCCTAGTGGGGGAACAAGTAAACATCGTAGTAGTCGTAGTACAGTTCTCCGTGTCCTGAATAGCAACCAGGTTTGCTAGTCATAGCAACCCTATGTTCGCCAGTTGCTCTCTATTTATACTTGTCTAATTTGCACACTTTACTACAGTAATAATAATAGTAATAATAACAAAATAATATCTAATGGTACTAATTTTGATCGATCATGTATTATTCCACGGATAATAAATTACTTTTGGATTTAGTCTGGAAGATAATTATCTAATATTATTATTAATTATACATTTTAATTTGTATTTGCCTTACAAGTTATTGTAATGAATATTGTCATTGTCATAATAGGAAGAGTTTGAATTACAATACCAGTTCTTCTTTTGTGCATAGGTCGAACCAAAAACGTCTTAATGTATCTTAATATATCTCGATTTAACGCATGAAAATAAATTATTTTATGATATCAATGGATATATTTCTTACTTTATTACATTAAAAGATAAATTTCTTCCATAAAATGTACTTTGAATCGAAAATTAATCAATAATTTTAAAAACGGTAGAAAAATGTTATTGTTCACCTGGGCTTTCATAGTTAAGAAATTGCGTGAAAACTGGTGTAGTCTTTTTCAAAATAATAAGTATGTTTTAGTATACATACTTGTTTCTTCTTCGCACTTATTTCAAAATACGTAACGGCAGCAAATCAGCGACAATCTACTTATTTATTTATCATCAATTCATGTGACACATATAGCCTCTTCACCTTTTAAGTATTTGTTTAAAAAAGTTCTAATGTAGCGTAGTGAATTGTATAAATATATGTGATGTTATGCATATTAAATTTATTCAATAATGCTGTCATAGTGTATTATGAATGTCTATTATTTTTCAGACCCATAATAGTTAGAATATAATATGCAAGTGTTTGTCTATATACGCGGATTGATATAAGAATGTGTGACAAGTACTGAATTTGCTATTAAAAATATTGTAAAAACAGAAAAATAACCCTAA